TTGGGAAATTTGGCCCAGTCCCAGGGCTCAGGTAGCTCCAAAGGGGGTTTTTCCTCTCAAAAATACTGGGAAAGGAGGGGAAAAATCAAGGGCCGGGGGGGTTTGCCCCGGATTTTTGGGGGGGGTTTTGGGCCAGGCCCCCCCCCCCCCCAGCATGTGGTGAAGGTGCTGGGGGGGGGTCCCCCCCCCCCCCCCCTAGCATGTGGTGAAGCCTCTGGGGGGGGTACCTCCTCGTCGACTCGGTTGCGACGCAGTCGGACGCCTTCCTGCGCGGCTTCGAGTCGGTCTGCGGCGGCGAGGCGATCCAGCTATCTCCCCCATATATATCTCCCATCTCCCCACATCTCCCCACATCTCCCCACATCTCACCACATCTCACCGCATCTCCCCACACCTCCCCGCATCTCCCCACACCTCCCCGCACCTCCCCATATAGGCGATCCAGCTCTTCCGGTGGGAGGAGCTCGAGCTGCTGCTGTGCGGCTCGCCAAATCTCGACTTCGAGGCGCTGGAGCGGGTGACGCAGTACGACGACGGCTTCTCCTGTGACAGCCCGTGCATCGCGCTGCTGTGGGAGGTGATCCACGAGCTGCCGCTCGAGATGAAGAAGAAGTTCCTCTTCTTTTGCACCGGCTCGGACCGGGTGCCAATCAAGGGGCTCGGCAACCTCTCCTTCGTCATCTCGCGCAACGGCTCCGACGAGGAGCGACTCCAGTCGGCGACTCACACCTGACTAGTCACCTGCTTCAACCACCTGCTGCTGCCCGAGTACACGACAAAGTCCAAGCTCAAGGCGCAGCTCCTCTCAAGGCGGTCTCGGACACGGATGAGGGGCTTCCACATCATCTGACCGCCGGCCCGCGGCCGCAAAGAATGGTTGGGTAGTAGGGCTAGAGGGTCGCTCTACACTTAGCCTCTGCAGCGAGCGAGCGCTCAACTTAGCCCCCGCACCGAGCCGGGCTCAGACTTAGACGCTGTATGGTCGGGGGCCATGAACTTAGACGACATAAGGCCACTCCGGGCAAAACCCGGGTATACCTGAAAAGCCTCCAGGTTTACCCGAAATACCTGGACGCGTCCGACCAACGTATGCCGCGCACGACGCCATATCGCCTTCTCCCAGGGCCAGTGCGCTACTCACGGCGCGCAACGCCTGCTCAAGTACGCGCACCGTACCATGTGCTGCCGCTATGCGTGCCTTAAGGCGGCTGCGGCGAAGCGGCGGGCGCGGCATGCCGATGGCAGTGCGGACGATGCGGTTGCGATGTGTTCTGCTTCAAGATCGTGGCGGTGCTTGGCATGCACTTCTGCGATCCCAATCAGCTCATCGCAACGAAGCAGCGCAACAAGCTGGCTGCTGCCAACAAGGCCCTATGCTACCTCACGCGCGGATCGTTCAAAGAGGACCAGCACACACAGGCTTCACGCCTTCACCGTCACACGTTTGATTAAGCTTGAGGAGCTTCGTGTCATGTGAGAACTGTTTGGCTAGACGTCGCTCAAGAATGAAGGAGCAGCAACGAAAGTCGGAAGAGGAGGATGCTGAGGCGGCGATTGCTAAGCATGAAGAGGATCCATCGCCCTCCGCAGGCGAAGAAAATTTGGGGGCTGCGCCGTATCGTTGATCACGGTGGAGGAGCCTCCTGGCCCCAGGCCGTGCCACGGCCGACTTAGCCGATGTAAGAGGCTCCCGCTGATCTTAGACCGCGCAAGCACTCCAGCGTGGCTAGCCACACTTAGACCCGTTCAGCCTCGAGGCTCAGAACTTAGACTACTACCCAACCAGTCCGCAAAGCTCGAGTCGTGGAGGTGGAGAGCGCGCCGCGCGTCCGTGAGAGGCCCGACATACACAAAAGACTTAGGAAAAAAGAGCGGGGGGAGTCCGACCCTCGAGAGAGGGCCGACGGGAAACACATCGTCGTTTGTTGATACTCCGTGTTGTCTGTTACACCCCCTAGTACAAATCTGCCAACGTAGACTGCAGACGCCCCTTTCCTGCATGCCGGGCAGAATGTGAATGAGAACCAGAGGCAGAGAAGTCCGATGTGAAGCGCGATGTGGTGAACACGACCCTGCCAAGCGCGCCCACACCACAAGCCACAAAGGGCCGTGGAGTGCGGAGAGGCGAGGCCGCCTCAGGGCGATGATCACGCAAACCAGACACTAGGCGGGCGCCGCCCTCTGGCCCGCGGCCGTGCGCGCCGCCCCCATCTTCAGCTCCGCCACCTGGTCGAGCGCGTCGCCGAGCAGCCCCTTGGCCACGCCCAGGTCGCGCAACTGCTCCACGCCGCCGCTCGCCCGCACCTCGGCGGCGTGGTCGGCCACGAAGCGGCGGCACTGCGCGAGGAGCCGCCCGTCGCCCGTCGTGTGCGCCGCCTCGAGCAGCGGCACCGCGCTCGCCGGCCCGACGCTCTCCTGCAGCGCCTGCGCGCAGAGCAGCTCGAGGCGCGGCACCTGGTACATCTGCGCCAGCTCCCGCAGCACGAGCGCGCGCCGCGCCTGCTCGCCCTCCCCCTCGCCGAGGTCGAGCTGGTCGGTGCAGAGGTAGTCGATGAAGGCGGTGAAGCTGGCGAGATCCGTCTTGGGCACCGTGATCTCGGCGGCGTCGCGCTCCTTCATGCCGATGCCGAACATCTTCCCATAGTACTCGGACCGCACGCAGAGCAGGTTCTTGCTCACGTGCTCGATGCGCTGCTCCTCCTTTCCGACCACGAAAGTGACCGGGCCGTGCGGGAGGGAGGCGTCGCCCCGCATCTTCTTCATGTCGGCAAAGAAGGTCGAGGGCGGCACCACAATCGGCGCAAAGGAGGGAGGCGGAGGAGGCGCAGCCACGCAGACCTGGCGGAGAGCCCCCGTGCAGACCAGAAGCGTGCTGCCATCGGGGCTGACGGCGACAATGGCTGGGTGCGCGAACTGCGCCGCGTCGCCCACGCCATCCGCGTCGCCTTCTCCGCCGCTGCCCGCGACAGTCGTCACTGCGCCCGTCGCCACCTCCACGCGCCGGATCTTGTGGCTGCCGAAGTCCGCCACGAACAGTGCGCTGCCGTCGGGGCTGACGGCGATGCCAGTTGGGCGCGAGAACTGCGCCGCGCCGCCCATGCCATCAGCGCTGCCTTCAGTGCCGCTGCCTGCGACAGTCGTCACCGCGCCCGTCGCCACCTCCACCCGCCGGATCTTGTGGCTCCAGAAGTCTGCCACGAACAGCGCGCTGCCGTCGGGGCTGAGGGCAACGCCGACTGGGCCGTCGAACTGAGCCGCGCCGCCCACGCCATCAGCGCTGCCTTCTTCGCCGCTGCCCGCGAGCGTAGTCACAGCGCCAGTCGCCACCTCCACCCGCCGGATCTTGCACAAGTCCGCCACAAACAGCGCGCTGCCGTCTGGGCTGATGGTGACGCCGTATGGGTCGTTAAACTGAGCCGCGTCGCCCATGCCATCCGCGTCGCCTTCGCCGCTGCCCGCGACAGTGCTCACCGCGCCCGTCGCCACCTCCACCCGCAGGATCTTGTGGTTGTCGCAGTCCGTCACAAACAGCGCGCTACCGTCGGGGCTGAGGACAATACCGCGGCATTCCTCGCAGGTCGCGACGGTGCGGGTGCGCCCGGCCGCCGACACGTGCAGCAGCGAGCCCTCCTTAGTCGTGACGTACCAGCCGCCCGCGCGATCGCTTGCGACGGCACGCAGGAGCGATGCCTGACGGTCGTCCTCGCCCTCGAGCGCCAGCGTGGTGACCTGGCCGACGACGCGCGCGCCAAAAATGGGCGCCTCGAAGCCACCCGCGACCGGCACAGCCTCGCCCTCCTCCTCGCCTTCGCCGGCGGTGCGGGCGCGCTTGCGGGAGGACATCGCCGACACCCGGGGCGGGTTCGGTCCTTTGCATGGTGCGGTCCTACCTGATACCCTAACAGCTGCCAAACCCCCCGCCGCTCACTCTTACCCGACCTTCGCCCTTTCACACGGCGGCGGCGGGCGTGCTCCAGCGCGTGCGCCGGCCAGCGCGCGCTCGCCGGTCGAAGAAGAGGATGAGGGCGTACCGCGTGCCTCCCGTCATCGCGCTCACGGCGTGCAGCAGCCGGCAGGAGTGCACGGTGGCGTCGCCCTCGGCCCGCAGCAGCGGCTGCACCGCCCCGCCGAACACGCCGAGCAGGCGGCCTGGTGCGCGGTGGCGGTGCGCGGTGGTGGTGGTGTGTGGTGGTGGTGGTGTGAGGGGAGGGGAGTGTGCGTGGCTGACCGTCCACCCCCCCCCTAGCATGTGAAGTGAGTAGAAGCGCGCCCCCCTCCCTGGAAGCGATGTGCGCCTGCTCTTGATATCATAATTTTGCCGCTGAGCATGACTTCCGGCCCTTGGTAAAATACAACCACCGTCTCGCCTTTTTACGGGCGTGCCCCGCGGCCACGCCACCAGGGGCGACAGAGGGGTCGACGCGCGGAGGGTAAGGTACGCGGCGCGTACGTGCAATCCTCGTTGTCAGAAGCGCTGTCGTCGCTCAGGCCTCTCTCTTGCAACCTTGCGCCAACAGGGAGCGCGACGCATCACGCCGCCGCATCGCCACCATAGGCCCATGCAGCTGGGCGTCCACCCATACCGCGTTGGGAGAGAGAGAGAGAGAGAAATTTGTTTGTTTTCTTGCCGCGTTGGTGTCCAGTCCGAGCCTGTGTGACGCCAGTGACGGCTCTTCACCTTCGATCCTTCCTACCTAACCTGTTGCTTAGGGCGGCAAGATCTTTTTTCTCTTTTTTCTGCCCTGCACTATGGACCGCCGGCCGCCGCGCGCCGCTGTCGCAGCTGCAGTGGACGTGGCGTCGTGTTGGTGGAGCGCGTAGAACAGCATCGGCAGCGTGAGCTCAGGCTCAGCGTGCCGCCCTGCCCGCCCGGTCACGTGAGGTTGACGACGTCGACAGCGCTGAAAGAAAGAAAACAGACACCGAAGGGAGGGATGGGAGGACGGCACGCCGCCACCACACAGGGATTTTAATGTCGACAGCGCTGCATTTGTTCCCCGTCTGCGTCTCCCGCGCGCGCGCGAGCGGTTTTTTACACCCCCCCCCCCCCCCCACCACCACCACCACCCTTTTGCGGGGCCATCTGGGGCGTCAAAACCGGACCTACCAGCAGCCAACAATAGTTCCAGACCCCCAACCCGGCTTGGAGCCGGAACCCAGCCAGAGGGTGGCGGCGGAGCCCAACCTTCCTCATTGTGGACTTACTTTCACTACCCCCACGCTCGCCACGCAGCGCCCTTTCCCGCCAAAGCACTCTCTCCGCGCCCAGCGTGAGCGATGGATGCGGACGACATCAGCGAAGGACACCAGCGGAAGCGGGCCGAGCGCCAGCTCGACGACGGCATCGCGGCGATGCTCGACCAGTACTCGCAGCTGCTGCTCTGCGCGCGCGTCCGCGTGCCGGTGCAGCAGGGGGCGGACGAGCTCTCCGCCAGCGTCGCCTCCAGCGCGCTGCTTCAGTCTGCGGACGGGCTGCTCTCGGTCGCCGAAGGGCTCACCTTTGAGGCGCGCCGCCGTCTGCAGCCAACCCCTGCCTCCCACTCCCGGGCCAGAGCGGGCGCTGTGTGCACAGGCGCTGCTCTTCGACGGCGGCGACGGCGGTGAGACGGTCAGTCCGCGTCCGAGGGAGGGAGGGAGGGAGGGAGGGAGGGAGGGAGAGAGAGAGAGAGAGAGACATTTCGGGAGATAGTTTGCCGCTCCAAGCTATCGCCCCGCCCCGGTGCCTCGTGCGCAGGCACGTGCGGTGAGCGCCCGCGAGCGGAGTGCCGCCAGAGACGCCGAGCGGCGCCTCGAGGCGGTCAGACGAGAGGCAGCCGCCCGCCCTCTCCACCCGACGCCTTTGCCGGCGCCATGGCCTCATGCCACCGCCTCGCCCGGCCTCCGCACAGGCGCAGGCGGCTCTGCGCGAGCTGGAGGAGAGCTACTACTCCTCCGCGCGACTCCTCGCACGCGGCGGCGGGCGAGATGGCGGGGATGAGTGAGGCGTGAGAGGCGCACAGCACACGCTCACGGGCTTGCGCACATGGAGTTGGAGACTGTAGACTGAGAGAGATAAACAACTCGCAGCTGTATCGTCGCGGCGATCTCAGGGCGAGGTCCCGCGCAGCTGGAGGTCCGAGCGACGCGGTTTTACTCACTCATGTTTCTTCTGATGACCGTCACTCTCTCGACAGCACACACACAAAGAGCGTCTCGGGCGAGCCAACTGCGCGCCAAACGCGCGCGGCGCATCTATCTGCTCTGTGGCACCGCGCGCCTGCGCGAGCCTGCTCCGAGCACCCTGCCGATGTACGCCTGCTGTGCAGACTCAAGCTCCTCCCCGCTGGCCGCAGACATTTCTCTCCTCCGCGGTTCTGCCGCCGACGGTGGCCGAGGCGGCGACGCAGCTGCTCGCGCAGCGGCGTGGCCGGATGGAGGCCGAGTCGGCGCCGCGTGGCCGCGGATGAAGGCCGCCTGCTGATCCTGAAGCTCCAGGTCCTTGACGCGCGTGCGGAGCGCGCGGCACGTAGCTTGCGCCCCGTCCAGCGCCAATTCGCGATCGGTGAGTGACGCTGCTGCGCGGGAGGCTTCCGCCCGCGCCGCGCTCCTCTCCTCGCTGGCTCGCGCCAGTGCGCTCTTCAGCGCCGCCTCCCGCCGCTGACCCTCCTGCAGTGCACGGCGGAGCGCGCGCTCGGACTCTCGAAGCGCAGCCGCCTCTTGCATGAGGGCCGCCTCTGCAGCGGCTCGCTGCTCCAGCTCGAGGGCGAGCCGGGAGGAGTCACGCTCGGCCTCGGCGGCCCGCGCCTCGAGCAGCTCGTGGAGCGCGCGCCGCCGCGCCGACAAGGAGTCGGCCTGGTCGAGAAGTACGGGGTCGGGCATCTCGTCCTCTCCGGGACAGAGGGCGCGAACTTTGACGTTCACAGCCTTGTTATTACATTGAGAAGAAAACACCTCGCCTTCACACAATAAGAAGTGGCGCCGCGAGTGAGCGGACGATCAGGCCGTCGTACTCGCCGATGATCTTCTTGAGCTCGGCGGGCGGGACCTTGGACTTGCAATCGACCACGACGCCCGCCTTTTGCAGGATGTCCACGCACACCTGCGCGCATGGAGGCGGCGGCACGCTCACCGCGGTGTGCTCCACTCGCTGCTCTGTGCCGTCGCCGGCGGTGCGGCGCCTGCTCGATCGGGTCCGAGATGAGCACCTTCTTGCCCTTGGCGCTCGCGCCGCCCTGCGTGCGGGTTGGAGGACGGATCTCGAGCTCGCTGTCTCCGTGTCGCAAGCCACACGATGCCCGGGTGATTATCAAGGGCACCCGGAGTTGCCGATAAGAAACACACGCTTTCGGCACAGGCGAGCGTCGGGATTTTTCTTTGTTTTTCATGGCCTCCCACCGCATCGGCGCCAGCCATGGCACTGTCGTGCGGGAAGTCGATTGATTTATCGAGGCGACCTCAAAAAAAGAAAAGAACTTCAATGGCCGCCCACCGCATCGGCGCCCGCCTGTCTGGCCTCTCGCCATCGCAGCTGTGCGCCATCATCGAGGCGCAGGCGGGCACGAGCGCCGCCGCGCTGCGCGTGGCGGAGGAGCACGCCGCACGGCTCGTGGAGCAGCCCGAGTGGGTGCTCTCCGAGGTCCTCCTCTCGCCGGACCTCGCCCCGCACATCCTCGCCCAGCTGCCGACCAAGGCGCACGCCGCCAAGGGGACGTGCCGCGCGTGGCGCCGCGGCTGGAAGGAGACGCTGAAGAAGCGCAAGCGGCCGCGCCTGCTCGTGTTTGGCGGCCACGGCAGCGAGTCGCTCAACTCGATGGAGCGGTTCGACCCGTCAACGAATGAGTGGGAGGAGGAGGCTGTGGCGCCGATGCTGACGGCACGAGGGGAAGCCGGCATGGCGGTGCTCGACGGCAAGCTGTACGCTGTGGGCGGGCACGGCGACGACGGCGGCTGGCTCAGCTCGGTCGAGCGGTACGATCCGGCGGCGAACGCGTGGGAGGCGGTGGCGCCGATGGCGGCGACGCGGAACGCTCATGCCGTGACGGCGCTCGATGGCAAGCTGTACGCCGTGGGCGGCTTGAACGACGACGAGTACCTCAGCTCGGTGGAGCGGTACGACCCCGCGACGAACGCGTGGGAGGCGGCTGCGCCGTTGACGACCGCACGATTGTTTCATGGCATCACCGTGGCGTAGGGTTCTCTGGAGGGAGAGGAAGCAAGGACTTTCCAATCCTTCGCCAGTGTGCCGGAGGGATGAGGGAGGGTGAAGTATCAGCAGGTATCTAGCAGATTCTGGGCCAGACAGAGTTGTGCGCGTCGTAGAGGTGTGGTTTCTGCGACGCGCACAACTCTGTCTGGCCCAGAATCTGCTAGATACCTGCTGATACTTCACCCTCCCTCATCCCTCCGGCACACTGGCGAAGGATTGGAAAGTCATTGCTTCAACTCTGTCGGGAGAAGATTCCGCTAGATGCCTGTAGATACTTCACCGTCTCTCAGTCCTCCGGCAAACTGGTGAAGGATTGATAAGTCCTTG